CAAACAGATATTTTTATTGTTCTTTGAATATTATTTTCTTTAATATATTCTTCAATAATAGTGATTTATTACATGTCACAGTTTTTATTCTTTAATAGTAATATAAAAACTTACTATTACTATTTATTAATAATGTAAATAAGTAATAATAATCGTTTCAACGACTCATCAGGAAGATGGCAATTAAAAATACGTATTATTACAAAATAAAAACCATATAGTCTTTATAAAATAAATTTTCAAAAGCATTAGTTACTCGCTTATTAGACTACTCGCGGATGCATAACTGTAATTGTTTTATGGACTATGATAGGATACTAGAAAAATCTAAAACTCGATAAGTAATATTGTTAAGAATTATTTTCTGTTTTAAATCTATTTTACATCATGTCATCGATTTTATTTATTTAACTCCTAGTCTATAACCTTCAGTGTTGCATATAATGTGGTCCAAGTCAAAGAAAATAAGATTATAATGGTTCACATTGATTCATATACTGCGATATTTATCTAACTTGAATACTTTCGCATAAATAAATAGGATCAAACAATAGACTTTCTAAATAGAATGTATAGTGTTATTATTAAATGAAAGTATACTCACGTGTAAAATATTAAGTTAGTTAATGATAGATTATAAATACATATATCACAAGTATGTATGTTTAGTTATTCTATTAGTACCTAAAAACTTTTTGTGAGTTTAAATTATTACGTTGGTTATTAATTTAAACATGAAACTATATTTTTTTGTAATGAGGACTTAATTATTTTAAATTTCATACATTGGTTTTATTTCAAGGCAAAAACGCAATATAATAGCGATCAGTTCAAACCAATTCTTAAAACGCTTCCGCTTATAACTTGAATAGTCACACCGTTTGTACATTCAGTCAGTCAGTGTTCCGATAAGCAACGTGTAAAGTGTGTGTATTTAAACAGTGAGAAACAAAATAATTTATTAGATTCCAATTATCATTTAGATGTTACCTAGCTAGTTAGGGGTTATTGGTATTACTTTTTAACTATATTGGGTGAGGAGACACGAACCAATCGGGTACAGAAAAAATCTAGAAGTCAAGATGGTAACTCCGAAGCAAACTGCACTGAATTTTTATTCAGGGAGACCATGAGCCAATCGGGTCGAGACTTCATAGAACTAAAACAAATATGATACTCCAGTGGCAACTCCGAGGCAATCGGCACTGAATTTTTTTTCAGGGAGACCACGAGCCAAACTGGATGGAGTATATAATTTCTGATTTTGATTTTACTACTAAAATTATGATACTCTAGTGGCAACTCCGAGGCAATCGGCACTGAATTTTTATTCAGGGAGACCACGAGCCAAACTGGATAGAGTATATAATTTTACTACCATAATTTCCGGGTGTTAACTGAGGCAAGCTGCTCATCCATAAAGTTATAAAAGTATACCGTAGTCCTATCCCTAAATATTTAATATGTATGTTCATTGCGTTAGGCATATTAAAGGAATCTAATGAATGTTTACGTTTCATTCAGTGTAGTGAAAAAATGTGATCAATCTCGCTGCCATGGTCACCAGGTTAGTCGATTATCCATTCAATAAAACTTGAATTAAAAAGCGTGAATAGCATCAATTCTCTAATAAATTCTAATAGTGAATCCATTTATAATATTGGGCATTCTGTCATTCCACGAGTGAGTGGTGGCGAAACGCCGACACGAATGAGTGGGGGACAGAATGCCCAATATTACCCTACTGACATAGTACCTATATTATCAGTGACAAAACGGACTACCTAGAGAAAAATAAAAAACACAGTGTTCATAAAATTATCACTTAAAAAGTAATGAAACCTATTAATAACTTTTACATTGTATTATTTTAATGTGTTTACGAAACATTACAAATTAATAATTGTTATCTACCCATTACTTGAACAAATAATTTGGTATTTTTTTAAGTATATTTTTTAAGTTATCGTCAAGTTGTGGTTTAGCTAATTACTTCTTTATCACCGACTTTAAGAATAGAACAGATGAACTCAATGATTTTATTAATAAAGCAATAAAATTGTTTAGATGATCAGCAACACATCATCCTCATCATCATCATATTCTTCATTTTATTGGTTTGGTAAACATCTTTAATGAATAAATGCTCAAAGAACCCACCAGACCCAGTTACCCCGAGATGAACTCAAACCCACAACCTATCGCAATCAAGGCAACTCCTGTCGGTCCTCCTCTTATTCTCTCTCCTCTCTACCGATCGACATTGCAATTGTACTGTTTCGGGTAGAACATTCGCCCGGATTGCAAAAGGTTCGGAGTTCGAGTCCTATCTCGGGGCACCTGAGTTTGGCGAGTTCTTTAAGCATTTGTTCATCAAAGATACTTATAAGTGTAGCATTGTGGTTGCAAAATTGGAATTAGTGTAATTATTGGTTTGGTTTAATTTTGAATCCAGTGGTTCTACATTTATATAAAAATATATACTTTAAAAAATGTAGTTATTGTTTTAACAGTTTCTGATATATTGGCAAAACCATGTAAGTACTTAGTTTATTGACGGTAAAGGATAATAATAGTAGGGCAAACGTTAATAAGGTGAATGTTATCAATTAGTAATTGGAAAATATTTACACACTTAGAAAGTCATCAACAAACGTCGAATGTTTTTAAAAGGAAGCTTTCTCGACGATTATCGCCCCAATTTCGAGGTCGTAGGTCAAAACTACAAGGTAAATAATTTTATTATCAGTTTACGTACGTTCTCGATGTTTAAAAATGATTTTTTTATTTTATTTTCTTTATCAGTTTCTTATCTTATGAGTAGTTTTCGTATGCATAATAGTATGATGCATACTCACACTCTTTACAGCCCAGGGGACGTATTTACCCTAGAGCCGAAAAATACAGAACAGGGTGGCAAGTTGAAACGGTATATCTGTATTTCTTAGTTCCCTTTAATTTTGTTTAGAATCTGAAGATGATATATTCGTCCTAAAACACGCCCAACCATAAAGATGTGGGGCGATAAATCTCGGCGACCTCGGCAACTAAAAGCAACAGCGATATCGTGCTGCTAAAACTACAATAGCGATATCATCATTTATTTTTTGTTACCCTAATCAACTATTACTACTAACTGGTAGAAAAAGAACAAGTACCTTCCTAAGGACTTACAATGCGCTATGTATATTGCAATGAATAACAAATCATTGTATATTGCATAAATCTTTATGACTAAAAATCGTTCCATGTGAAAGAGAAAACGGATTAAATCATGGATGAAATTTAGAAATAATTTACATTCCATTTCTTTTTTATTTTAAATTCCGATCGATTAATTGAAATACTAAACTTTAAAAATTCGGATGCTATTATTTAATACCTATATTTAGATCCTTTTCGTTCTATTTAAAACCAGAAGTATGTAATTTAATATCGTTATTATTGTCAACATTTTTTTATCTTAAAATAAACAGACCCGGTTGTAATAAATAAATCAGTAGGCGCCAGCTTCAAAACAAGGAGATAAGTGTCCTCGCCCTTTTTAATTATTAATTATAACCATTTCAATGATAATGTTGAAAAAGTGTTACGACAAACATGTCTTGCTTTCATATTTTATTATATTAATTTAATCAAATGTAACAGTTATTGGTACTTAACTTTTGATAAAAGGGTAGTTGTAATTTTTTTATGTTTAATATAACAGTGATGTTGTTTTCTAGTTATTAAATTGATAATATTATTAAAGTGAGATATTTTGAAATTGATCTCCCTGGATCTATCAGTTTCGCCGCCTTATAAAACGGGGAAGTTCTTATTCATAATCATAATAAAATCCAACAGTGTGGGCTAAGAATTATGTTATTAGATGAAAAAAATTAAGACCATAGGTACAACAAAATAGACACGCGCAGGTTATACTGCCTTTTACATTCTGCTGTCCCGGACCATGGTAGTTTTATCGGTACAGTAATGCGTCTCAGGTTTATATGAATTGATTTAGGTTTCTATATGTTTATTATGTCATTTACTTATTACTAATATTTTAGGAAGACCAACAGCTAACAAACAAAATGATAATGAAATCAGAAAGCAGACAAACAATTACAGGAGTTCACAAAAAATATACAAGGTATATTAGTTTAGAGCTTTTAGTTGCTACTGTTATATCAAAGATAGAAATGTTATAGCAAAGATATAGAACGGTACTGTACATGTAAAAGATAGAAGAAACCAAGTGAATAGAAATTGAAAAGGAAAATTCAGCAAGTGAGCCTGGCCTAAGGTTAAGTATCTACATATTTTTAACAATTATTTTTCGGATCCGAAACGTAAAAAAGTGATTTAAAAAAAATCAAAATAAAGTTCTACCATAAACTCACCGTGGTCTCATCCAAAGACCTGTTGAGCCGCGTACGTGACGTGCAGGTAGCCATCCTCACCACGAAATTGATCGTATGCCTGAGCCATCGTCATGCTATGACTCACCATCACTTTGTCGTTCACCAACAAGTAGAGGGCCTGTATCAACGATTTTCTTGGTATAATTATCGAAACAGGTTTATTGAAAGTACTTTTGAGTTGTTTAACAATTATATCAGTATTGTTAAACTTTGATATGTGCATATTTTATTCTACCCTTTTCTAAAATCAAGAAGCGTCTTATGGACGAAGTTTCTAGCTGTGGAAAAAGCTGATGGAAAACACTAAATACTATCAAATAAATGCATTATCACTAATACTTATAACTGCGATTCTGAAATAAAAATAGAGCTGTGTGCTCTAAACAGAGACACCTCGTCACATTACAAGTCACTAACTATAAAAAAATATTAAATAGGAAAAAGTTGCTTAAGCTACATCTATTGATAGATAATTTTCTCTATATTTCTAGTTCTCTTTAAAGCCAAAGAGATATTCTTTTAACACTCATAATACACGTATTAATATATTTTTTAAATCTTTCGTCCAGAGTATCTGTACGTACTGTGTATGTTTGTAATTGTACAAATAAGGACTAGATTATTTAAGGTCGTAGCCGTAGGTGTATTACTTGTGCGATAAAATGAGATATTCTTAAAGTCACTTATTTAACAAACGTTTATCAGCCTCCCAGTCGCTTGGTTCAAGGTTAGTTTGGAAATATTTGAGAAAGAAGAGATATTTTTTTGTTTACATGTACTCAATGCACTGGTAAATTCCGTGGCCTGTTATTATATAATGGAGTCAATAACATTATTACTGCCGTTCCTCATATTTCATCGATATATTACACTGTGTACTAGTGATAAGATAATTGTTACCATGTTATGTTTTGCAAATTTTACATTTAATTTATCGAAACTATTTGGAGTATTTGGATCTGGGTAAAGTTACATTCGTATTTGTTTCAAATTCAATACCTATTCCGGCAATCTATTCAATAGACATATTTATTAATTTATTTATGACTTATATGACGTACTAATGACAGCGAAGCCAACGTGACTGTGCGGAGGGATTTATGCCCCGAGGATAGTGCCACTTCGCCCACGTCTAGCTACGCTTTTGGCTATCAACAAGACCCTTACCTCGATGGGAAGAACTTGGTCGGTCTTAGATGCAAAAGTTATTTTTGCTAGAGCCAATGCTTGGCAAGGCACCTTAAGCCTGGCTGCATCAGCAGTCGTTACCTCACATCAATGGGTCAGCACAGTCGGCTATTACTTATGGTCCGTTCTCATTTGATTCCATTCATAGGGAAGATCAGAGCCCGAGCCGTGGAACGTTAAGGCCAGTTTTTACCTCCGCTTGTAGGTAAAAGTAGAAACGTTCCCTCACTCCCCGCATACTAATACGCATCGAGAGTAAAGACGCACTCGCGCGCCCGCTTTTTTACTACGCCGATTATTGCCGTTTATGTTTCTGTGTTTGGCAAACCATCGATCATATGTTTAATTTTCATAAAAATAAATTTATTTGGTAAATATAGCCTTAGATTTTTTTTTTTCTAAAATATAGTAATTTGAAACAACCTCGCTTTAATAGGCTGATGATGATCATTGTGATAAAGACTGTTACCTGAGTGTCTCTAAGTTTCATCTTGGTCCGAATAATGTAAAGGAACTGGGACATTGTCAGTTCCTGTGGCACAAGAAATTTTGTTCTTCCCAGTTCTGGCACCTCACGTTCCCTCGAATATCTTTCAACCCGAATCTGTAAAAATATCCTTTTTGAAATAAGAGAAAAACTTAACTAACATCGTTTGGATATTAAATTACACGTTTATAATTCTTAAAATTAAAATATTGGTTATATTTGATAATTAAATTAACGAAATATAAATATTTTTTGATTGTGATTTTTTTACAAATACTTACTGGTACTTTGTTAGGAAATCTACCTCTGATGGCCTGTATTTCTTCATTTGCTCCTGCCATATCTGAAAGCATGTGCTATATTTTATCTCAATTACGAAGAGACCGCACAGGAATGAGTTCGCTTATCGAGGCTTGGGTTTGCAGACGTAAATTTATTTCAAAGCCCTATCATTAAATGTGTAAATAAAAAAATCAAAAATTCAGCATAGCAAAGCACGTTAATCCGTTGGTCACGGCTACATTTCTAGTCCTTGGTGGACTTATCCGCATTGGGCCCGTTAACCTGTTACCCATTCCCTATGTCTCTTTCTACGGGAAAGCCTGTTCTCCGGCAGTGAGACATTAATAGCTTAACGATGGTGAGGTATACCACAATAGTGTATAACTTTGCCGTTCATCATCATTTCATCGGTATTGTTAAGGTTTAGGTAGGATAAAGGTAAAATTTGTTATATAAGACTTAAAATACTTTATTGACTTTGCTAGGCTGAAAATAGCAGTCCTTAGCATACCAAACAACATTTTTATCTCTGATATGTTCACGCACACTATCCATAAATGAAACAACTTTTAAACGGTTTCATCGCGTTTGTAATTAGTTTTATGCCGCTACCAGCACCAAAACTATTTACCAAGACACGAGGCTCTTGAAATTAAAAAACGTCCGAATTTTAATAGAGATGGAGGTTGGCATATACCAGATCCGTAATTAGTTAAATAAAATCTCAATCCAGATCACTACATTGCAAAACCAAAAGATACAGTTAGTTCATTCTGTAAATATGTTTTAAAGGGAGCAATTTACTTTTCTTGTCGCAGTTTGTTTCGCCAGTTCTTCACAAAGATGACCCCCAAATTTGGAACTGGTGGTAAATTATAGTTGCCAGGGATAAATAAATAAATCGCATCTACACCATTCATTGAAAATTATTACATACCGTCTTTATAGCCAAATACTTCTTGGGACGCGTAGGTTATGTATAAAAAGCCATCCTCGTCACTGTATTCGTCATGGGCCTGTGACATAGTCAGACTCATGCTAAGCATAGATCTGTTATTGATTATCAAGTACAGCGCCTGTAAAAATATTTCATTTAAATATGCAGTCTTATATACACTTACATTCTTCGGCCTAGGTTCTGAGATTTCTTTTTTTTACACATACTGGCGTATTTTATTTATTATAAATCCAACATAAATAATTAACAGCTTCTTGCGCTCTAGGCCCCTTTGGCTCTAAACTAAATACGCCCCTGCGTCCTCACGAGTAAAGAAAAATGTATGTGTGTACTTTCACAAAGACGAGCCTTATGTGTAATATATTTTTTATTTCAGTTGTTTTGTTTTACCAAAATTTTTGATGCTAATGGTGAAGATTGAAATGGATTGTTTAAAAAAAATCTAAGACAACCTATGAAACTACTAGAATGGTACACATAAATCATAAGTTCTTCCGATTAGAATATTAAAAATCATGTACAAGTTTTTTTATTTGCAGATTTAACTATTTAATGAAAACATCGAGCAAAAAGCAATAGACGTGTGTAAATCTTGACTGAATCGACTCAGTGAGTCATTTCAGCAAAATGATGCATTGATCCGAATTTCTAAGTTTGCTCAGTGGTGCTTACTGACACAAATGAACGAAAGAATGAACTGAGTGGCTACTCTGCTTGTTTATAAAAATTAAGAATCGTTCTCATAATTATTAAAAAATCATATGCGCCAATATTGTCTGTGCATCAGAAGCAGTGTCAGGGGCCTACCTCCTCAGTTTCATTATTAATTATCTAAAAATGTGTTCCTTTAGAGTCGTATTAGAGTTTTGAAAATAGATGAATTTTCGTTTTCGGCGAACCAGAGTAGGCCTTCCGAGCAGAACAAATGAGTTTTTGCTATATCTTGGCACTAAAATAATTTTATTACATTTTTAAAACAAACATTCCATATCAAAGGTCAATGAAAAGCATTGGGTGATTTTTAAATATATTCGTGACACGATTAAGTAGTTGCTCTCTGCTTTTGAAACATTATGAATATCGTTGATCCAGTTGATCCAAATTAAGCATTAATTGATTTGAATATTTGCACTTATTCAAATGCAAATCCAATCTTAAGAAAGATACGTTTTTCGCAGTACTAAAAAGCAATTATCTCAAAATTATTATATCGGATACCTTTTATGTAAAAAAAATCCGTAATTATTTTTCTAACCTACCTACCGCTTGTTATCTAATCTTTCTTAAACTAGATAATATTATAAAGCGGAAAGATTTGATTGTTTGTTTGATTGTATTGAATCTACAGGAACTATTTTAAAAATTCTTTACACCATACGCATGTGACATATTTAGGCTATAATTCGTGCGCGAAAACAGATAATTTTAGACACAAAAATGAATTGTGCTAGTAGATATGTACCTATTAATTTATTTTATTTGATTCCAATAATAAAAAGAAGTCAGAACTCAATATTATATTACTTAGGTACTGTGTTTCTAAAATGATTATAGTTCATAGTACTTCAATCGTAGGGATGAAATAGGAATGGTTCTATATTTTTACTCCATTTATTTAAAAAACAAAGATAATCAAAAACCTCCAAATAACGAAATCCATAAATTAATGCATTAATATAGAATTAATGCATTAATAAAGACTATATCAATTTTCATTATAACTTATCAAACGATTAACTAATCAAACCTACCACCAGTCGTAGAGAAATTAAGCTGTGACGTTTACTTTTATATCTTAACGTAATTTAGTTATCATGTTTTATATAAAGTATAAATGTTTACAAACATACACACCCACTTAGTAGTATATTCACTTAACAAAACATTTTTATCACATCTTTTTTTATCAAAATTTTAAACAAACACTTTTTGAAGACCTATTTTACCCACAGCATGAGCTTGAAAGACTATAAGACTTAATGTAACGAATTTTGCGGGTAGGAGCACGAACCATGATATCCAACAAATATGATATCTTGTAGACATAAAGTAGCCCGCGCGTCTATAACATAAGGTAAATAATAAAAATATTAACCGACCTTCAAAAAATTAGATTCTTATTGAATATTTATTTATCAGTAGCTGTTCAATTGCGATTCACCCTCGTAAATTGTAGCTTATGTCACATTTTCCTCATAACGCAACGCTTTATGTACTGTTCCCGCCTTTTGACAGGCAGGGGGTGCGTATAGGACTCCATCCGCACAGACCTACCCGAAGGTTAGTCATAACAAGAATGGCATACCCACAAACGCCCTACGCGCTTTCTCGTTTGGGAAGTCTATATCATCTACTTAAGATGTAGTTTCCCGTAGGTGAGATTTTTTTAAATCGCTCCAGTAGTTTTGGAGCCCATTCAATGAAACAAACATACATCTTTCCTCTTTATAATATTAGTTTAGAACTGAAAAAATATTTTCTAATGTTCATGAGGTAATTAACCAATTACTGTTTATAACATGGAATAATAACAATCATGAAACCTGAAATTTAACGCAGATTGTGAATGACTTCGTTACGTCAGATTAAACGATTTAAAATCGGTCAAGATAGAGTTTGGCTAGAGCACCGAGAGTTCCCTACAAATATTTAAAAAAATCATAGACTATTAATAAATTTACTTGTAAACAGTTGAGTTCTACTTACTTGATTCGGTTTCATCTTTATCCTGTTTCTTATGATAACTAGAAATTGGGACATGGTGATGTCCCCGGGCACGAGAAACTTCGTTTTGTCCAAAGTAGGTAGATTTTTCTCTTTGTGGTATCTTTCAACTATAAGCTATTAACGAAAACCATAAATAAATATGTAATTGTTTTGTAACAAAAAATAATTTGATGCTTTTTTAAAATGAAAATTCATCTTATCTACGCATATAAATAAAAGAAAAATATGTATTTTTTGCTTGAAATTACTTAGATCAAAGACATTAAAGCTGAAGTGTGAATGCTCACAGTCCCAACTAAGTAGAAAATCTATTACAAGACTAACTTGTCATCGAAGATTTTTTGTTAGTTAGGAAAGCGCTTCCAATTGTTTTGTTTTTATTTTAAATCAAATAAAAATAGTGGCTAGGTGGCGTGGTCAGGGTTTGGGTCACCAAAAAAATTTTATCTCGTTTTGGTTCCTGCTGCATTTGCAGTCGTAAATACCCTCCAATCTATCGTAGAAGGTTACCCATCTTCCATAACCGTTCATATGGAAGGCCTGAGCCCCTGCGGTGAGGGCGTGATATGGCAGATGATGAAAATGAATTTTATAAGTAGTTTCATAATTCAGAATACATACTAGTTCAAAAGACGCAAGACAGAACTACTTCCCTTTAAGTTGAAATAAAAAGACTTAAGTACCTAGCAATACTCTCTTATTATGATACTTACCGGTATTTTGTTCGGGAATTTACTTTTGATGGCCGTCACCTCCTCTTTTCGGCTCACTGCAACAAAGAAAAAAGAAATAACTCGCATCTCTTCTCTACTTAAATATTTTAAATTATATTTCTACAAATATTCTCACTTTCGACACCTACGATTAAAATGAAGACTCTATTAATATTCTAATTTGATAAGATTTTGTATTAACAATGCTTCCTCGACAGTGGTGCCAGTTATTCTGCTGTATCTTGGTCTAAACTAAAAAACAATAACTTTAATTTGAGTTTGTTTCAACGTTATTCCAAAGTCACATGTACCTAATAAGAAAATGTAATTTTACTCCCGCATAGTTAATTTATTATAGTTATATTAATAGTTAATTTATTTCTGAAATCTTAGTTATTTACACAATTTACCAAGGATCGACGGGTAGGCCGACTTCGAATAACAATAATAGCATCGAAGTAGGCCGACTTATTTTATATTTGTCTATGTTTTTTTATTTATTTTTTAATATGTTTTGATGTTGATTTGATTTTGTTTTATATTGAGGTTTGTACTTTATGAACGACACGTAGTTTGACGAATATTACGCCTATAAATAAATAAATATTATACAACATCAGGCATCACATACGTTGCTCATATTCCAAGATGAGTAAGCCCAAGCCTTCCTATTATGGAGTATCTGAGACAACGAAGGTAACGCAACACCCAGCCCAGATATAATATAGAAATGTTAATTTTCCATATACAAAGTTTTCTACATTCACTCGATTGAGAATTGAACCCGTTACCTCAGAGATAGCGACACTTTGATAAAAGCACGCGTGCACAAAAAAAATCATTTAAAGTTAATAACTTTATTCATATCGAACCTAAAATATAAAGTGAAAAATATAATTACGTAAGATTTGTTATGTCTTATCACTCTTAGAATTTGTGACTCTTGATATTGGTTTTCTTCGTCCCATTATTTCACTCCATAAGAGACATTATTACATTATACATAAGGTACTTTGTCATGACATGTCATTTGGTTGATAAATTTGTAATAAACGTTGTAAGTTGGAAACACTGCGGCAAATTCATATTCAAATATTATGCTAATGGTTCGTAGTAATTGTTCGTTGTCTCAACTACATGTATTTTGCCAATGTAATATTAGCGTAATAATGAAAAGTCAGTAACACTTTAACTATTGACACAGTTCTTGTTATTAGATCACAAAATATATCTGTCACCATTTATTTGTAAGGCAAGGCATTGCACTAATAAATATTGGACTTATGCAAATAATTGATAAAATTAGCAGAATTGAGGCCCAGCTAATATTTTAACCGTCTTCAAAATGGAAAAGTAGGAGGTTATGTTCGACGGCGATGTATGTTTTTCTTATGTATGTTCACCGATATTTCCGCTTTTTGTTGACCGCTTATCAAAATTCTTTTTTTATTCGATAGCTTCATAGACCGATTTAAATTTTCTCGTAATCGAATCAGTAGTTTTCCTTCTATAACAAAAAAATACCACCAGATATCACCTAAATATTTAGCTAAAAAACAAAAATTCAACATAGTAAAAGTCTAAGAGACTTGAACTACGTTGAATATTTTTATTTATACAGTATATTTTTGATTTATTTTGAATGTCACTTACCTTTTAAAAATACCAATGACACTAAAAAGCATGAAATAAAAACTTCTTTCTAAAATTACCACCGATTTCAAACTTTAAATAAGTGATAAATAATACCTCATCTCAAAAGTGACTTATTCAAGAAAATGCGCATGATTAATAACCTACAGAAAACCTCCGCCTGACTTCTAAAACCTTTTCTTGAATAACAGCCGGTTTCTGAATTAAGAATCGTATAAAATCTCACTTGATTATTCTTAATAACTTAAGTTTCTTACGTTTCACAAGGCAAAACTCCTGGTTTTATCAAACTACTATCAACTGATCATTATAAAAACTAAAATCAGAAACGAAAGTGACGTTTAAGTTCAGTTTGAGACGTGCTTAACTTGAAATTCTCAATTCAGAAACCGGGCGTAGGTCGCTTTTAAGATAAGTATTATTTATCACTTTTTTAAATTTTGCAGTCCGTTCAATTTAAAAAAGTTTATATTTCAAAAAGTTTGTATAAGAAGTTCGTGATTGTACTAATTTTAGGCGTCCTCAGTAATTATAGCAAGACTGCATAATTTTACAAACGGTCCCACTAAAACTATTGTAGGTATATAATTAATCTATAATTGGACATCATAAATTATTTGTTAGGTAAACACATACTGTAGGAGTAAACAAAATTGTGTGCAACTAAGTATATCAAGTTATCTATGCCGGAGCTTTGAACTTGTAATGTTAAGGACCTAAATTTAATTTTACAATACATACAGCCAGTTGCAAAAATGTCTACTAAAAATTTTCATTAGTTCAAAGTGACATTACCTATACAATTTTGAAATTAATTAGTGAGTAAAGGCGTCATTAAACCTTAATGGACGTTTGTCCAGCTGCTTTACTATGATGTAAAGCAAAGACTGCTTTACGATGATGAATATCATAAAGCAACTTTTAAAAGGCTTTTAGAGAATTCGAAACTTTTAAAACCTACGTGTTTTAAAAGTTTCGAATTTTACTTTTAAAACACGTAGGTATATTTATGTCTAGATTTCGCAGAAATATAAGAAACTGACACCCTATTTCACTAACCTACAACAAGGCGTAGCTTAACTACGATACGCGTAATATTACTAGTCACCTAAGCAGATTAGTTTAATTCCAAATAAATATTTTTTTCTTTAAACCCTCGACATTTTTATGACCTGTCAATACGAAAACGCCTAGCGCAAGGCGTCGCATAACGAATACCATAACTTTAGGCATTGCTTAATTTCGTCAGATGTTTCCTAGTCAACGGTGAAATGTATTTTTACCTTCTTCAATTCCTAAATATTTCCCGCTACTTCTCCCACGTTAATTACAGCTTAATCGTCCGCATATCATGTAGTTTCGCGTAAGTGAAAGAGTTTTTAAAAAAGGTCTAGAAGTTTTGGAGCTTATTGCAAATGCAAACGAAGAACAAAACTTTCCCTTATATATTATTCATGTAGATGCACTATTTAAACATAAGTTTAGTACAGACTTACTCGTACTTACGTTTTCTTATTTTTTTTGTCTCAAACTTGTATATTGATTGACTTTTTAATAACCTTAACGGCTTTCGAGAACTCCATTAGTTAAATATAGTTTCGACTGTTTATTTCGCGCAAAGAGCAATCAATTATCAATTATGTCTCATGGACATTACATTAATAAAGATTATAAAGAAAATTTAATTTATTTGTAATGAATAAACTAATTAAAGTAAATTTATATATTTCATATTTGTATAAATTTACTTTTATTAGTTCATTAATGTATTAACAGATAAATTTTATTTATTTTAATAAAATAAAATAAAATTAAACTAACAAAAACATACCAGTCTTACCTACGACCTACACCTAGAGGTTTCCGATTTGATATTTGAACTCATAAAATAACCTTTTGCAATTCGAGGCTACTGCACTAACCCACGAAAATTGTTTATGCTAACATAAGCTTTATAATATGAAAATAGCCATAGCAATAGCAGTGCATAGTCAGAATTTGAAGAACTTGTTAGTTAATTTACAATTGCATATATGTATATATTCAAAAAATATAAAATACACGTAAACATAAACAAAATACACTTACTAAATGTTTTCTTTGATTTGAAGCACTGTCTCACATTATGATTCACATCGTGTTTGATTAAAGTAATAAAGTTCAGTTCCATTTTTATTTAATATTTATTATTGGTAATGCACTCGTAATTATAGCTTCAAGGCGTCAATCGGTCGTGTGTTCTCCGCACTACTCGAAACAAGACTAATGCAAAATAATTAACATTACTAGTTTTTATCTACGAGCGGTCCCTAGTTGTAATTAAAGTTAGACGATAAATTAATCAGAGCCATTTATTATGAAAATATTGTTATCTCTTTGTGCGATTCCACGTTCGATTCTGTTTATGAGGTTGGGGGTCTGTATGACTCTTGTTTTTTTAACTACCTCCTGTTTCTTTTTTGTAATTGTCGCAGGATTATTATGAAATCAGGTTTTTAATGAAAAACCTAAACTTGTTTATCCTACTAATTTGATTGTTTGTTTGCATTTGAATAAGACAAATTTGAAAAGTTAAAGGGACGTCCCCCTTACACTGGCGCCAACTTCCCCCCTGATCCGGGCTTGTCGATAGCATTAAAGTCATGAAATTACTTGAAGTTAATAATGATTTCGATCGGCTTGTTACGGGAAAGCTCCATCTTGTGCGACTGTTTACAACTGGTTTGATGAACGTTCCAAAAACTAACTAAAAGTCGAAATGGGAAAATAATAAAAAAAACATTAAACCATCAACAAATAATAGTTGGTGCATCCACTTTTTACCCGACTACGGTAAAGCGAAAAGGATGATTTTGACCGGAATTTATGTAAGAATGTTCATCTGTTCCCTTATAACTTCGAAACTTCTCATCGTAACTGGCAACAGCGCCCTCTAAAGAGCATAAAGTAAGAAACTAAAAAAAATATATTATTCAATCATTCCGTGTAGGGTATCAAATGAAAGGGCTTAATTAGCATATTTCAAATATACCTTCATAAATTAGGTTGAGGAAAAAGTATTTTCGCATATAGTATGATAAACATGTAAAATCTTTCTGGCTATTCTATTTGTATCTGGCTGGTTTCGGTACCATTAAAAAGTTTAAACTTTAAAGAAGAAAACTCTGAATTCAAATTAGAAAAATTTGTGATTTTCATTTGTTTTTCTTTCTGTCATAATGAGTGAATAAAAAGAAGAAATTCGATACATTTTAAAATTTTATTACAAAAAAGGTAAAATACAACACAAGCCGCGAAAAAAAATTGTGACATTTATGGACTCAGAGCAGTTTCTGTGAGAGTAGCACAAATTTGGTTTAAACGTTTTAAATCTTGATATCAAAGATACATATCGCTCCGGTCGCCCTGTTACGAATAAAATGGATGGCATTTTTGTAAAAGTGAAGCAAGATCGGCAGTTACGACGTAACTGAAAAACTGGGGTTTGACCACAAAACAATTTTGACGCATTTGAAAAATGCTGGGTACACAAAACAGTTGGATATTTGGTACCTCACGAGCTCACTGGTAGAAGCGTAATGAACCGTGTTCTCATTTGCGATTCTTTATTATGGCGTAATGAAACCGAACTATTTTTGATAACTGGTGATGAAAAGTGGATCACGTACGACAAGAACGTGCGAAAAAGGACGGTCAGGCTTCACAGACTGTGGCGAAACCCGGGTTAACTCGCAACAATGTGATGCTGTGTGTATGGTGAGATTAGCAATAAACTGTCGAACCTATGAAAATATAGTTTGATTATTAGATAAAGACCACAATTTTTACATTATCAGCTGTTACCGCCAGGCAGGATCATGAATTCTGAACTCCTGCGATAAATGATGAGATTAAAGCAAGAAATTGAAAGAAAGCGGCCAGATTAAATTAATATATTCCGACGATGAGTTGAACGAATGTTTGTTTAAACTATAGGATTTGAAACAAAAGTGAGTTGTAACAGTACCAATTTCTCGAACTTAAAACCGTTTTTTTTTTAATAGTCCCTACCTTACAATCTTTGGTAGAGCTTCCTATTTATCCCCACTTTTTAGCAGGCCCTTCTTACTCTATTTTCTCTTTCATTCCAGTTCTCGCATTTATCAACTTTCATTCAACTTAAAACCGTTAGCGACTTAGCAAATTCGCTTTATAATTAATTACTTTTCTCCGCCCGCCGTGGTGGAAGTTCACGACGTAGGTGTGCATCGCGCTGTTGTGGAGTTCTGTCAGCCGTATGTCAACAATCGTGAAAAGTAAGTTTTTAGGCTTTGTTATGATTTTTATATTTTGGCGACTGCTCCTACAGTTGGATATCCCGAAAAGACTGTTTTAACAGTTTCAGAGGAGAAGACAATGTGAATCTTTTAAACTGCGCTGCTGCTAACTTTGGCTTAAGAACTAAAGAAGCCAGAACTTTTGCCTATAAATTGGCTGTAAATATCATATAAAAATGTAATAAAAAATCCCTTCTGCTTGAACTTAGTACGAAATGGCTGGAAAGGTTTGGCTTCGATCATTTATGAAAACGGCGTCCTGTTCTTTCTCATGCACTAATTCGTCCTACAACTATCGCTCGAGCTACAAGTTTAACAGATCAAACGAACAACTTTTTATCCAAAATAATACCACAGTACTTGACAAATATTTTACAAGGGAAGGATATATAGAACGTTGATGAATCAGGTATAACAAAAGTTCAGAAACCACACCGCATCATTGTAATACTTAAGAAATGGCTGAAAGTTAATAACTATTATATACTAAAGATTTAGGAAGATCCTTTTGAAAGTGTAATTAACTACTTTAGGAGTCAAATATTTGTATGAGACCTGTAGTTACATACTTGTCTGATATATCAGTACAAAATATTAATAAAAAAGTTGTTTCATACTAAAAAAGTTTTATTTAAATAAATACCTTGAAATTATATCATCTTTTTATTTTAAATCTCTCAATACTTCTTAAAAATCATGTTTCAACTGTCCTCGTTCCCTGTTTCATCTTTCCTCGGTATGAGGAGAGTTGAAATAAATTGACTTATAACGGTTTATTCGATGTTTATCACAATATTTAATGTTTATAACTACTTTACGTTAATCATTTGCAAGTGTAAATAATTACCTATCGATTGGTACTAATATCATATGATTTCTGTGTATAGTATTTGGTGTATGAAATAAAATGTCAAAATTGTTTCAACTTTTTCCCGTCCGTCCGTTTCCCTATAATAAACCTTTTTGCTTAAACCCTAAGTATTGTCTCCGCCTCACTTTCACTCAGCGGGGTTCAGGCGCGTGGATACTGTTGGCGCTTCTACTGCAAACATTACGATTGGCCACCTTTCGCCGCATTTTGAAATTTAAGTTTCTGAGCAGGCACATCAGTGAATGAATGAATGAATGAATGAACACTTTATTGTACTTGAAAATAAAATCAACATAACAAATTAATAACAATAAACAGTACAATTGGCGGCCTTATCGCTAAAAAGCAATATTTATTAGTTGTATCTAATTGTATACAAAAGAGCAAACGTCTCCAATTGGTTTTAAGTAAAAGTTTGTTGAAAGGTTGCAGTACTCTTACTAAAACTTACATTAGATATAGGAATCTACGATGTTCTAAAAAAGGATAGGTACACACGGCTGCACGTCAGGTTACCACAATATGCCTTTCTCCAGTTGATTTTAAACTGTACCCTCAAAACATTAAGGTTTAGAATCAAGTAGACAAATTTGTTTTACCTGACGGCTTTTAATTGTTCTATTAAATATCGGTAATCTATACAGTAGAACCATGTTATGTATGAGTCATACTTACATTTGAAAGTGCGCTAAGTTTCGTTTTGTAAGGGGCGATAAAATTTTAGTCCATCATATAGTTCGCATCAAAATTTCCTAAACTTGAATAGAACATGTGACTACATATACAAGGCATATTAGGTGACCACAATATATCAAATTTTCTCTATTGATTTTGAAATCTACATTCAACGGAATAAGGTTTAAAATTGGATGGAAAAATTTGACTTTTTTGAATAACTTGACGTTCTATCAACTCCATTTAGCTTGAGAAATCTTTATAGAAGCATCTACTTAGATAATAAGTGCAATATACTATCGAACCTATGAAGATATAGTTTGATTGTTAGATAAAAACCAAAATTTTACATACCTATTTGTTTGTTACTCAAGCGAACGGAAAATTGTCCTCCCATTCTAGCCGGTAGGTTAATTAAAAATTTTGACAATAGATCAATGGATCCGTTATAACATGATTTGTTTTATCTTTATTGGCTACATTCACTGATAACCTAATTGACACTATCACGCATGTATTTTAACTCATGTGAATGTAGCTTGCCGTTGACATTAGCTAAAACATTCCTTTACGCACACGTAATATCTATTACTAAAATATAAAAGGAACAGAGTGTTGCGATTTTGTTTTTATTTTGACATAAATGATGAAATTAAATCTATTATTTTCAAATCAATAACATTAATTGATTGATTTTCATGGTGTTAGCAATTACCCAGCCTTTTCTACTTAACTTAAATAAGCATTACAATGACAACTTAATTTGGAAACGGAACGTATTCTTGGCAACAGAAAGAAGTTCAAGATAGATTTATTGAATTTCTCAAATAACTAAGAAATTGTTAGAATATTTGAATTAATTCTGTTTTTCTGGAAAAAAGGAATTGCATTTACGTTAAACCTTAATATATTTATTTACGTATTCATACTATTTCTTGTATATTTAAGCTGTTATATCACATAAAACTATCAGTGTTCGATGGACTTTAGAATCAATAACCCAAATTCGTGATATGACCGATTTTATCTGCTACAGTTTAACTTTTTCATAAATATAATCATGTTGTGAATATTCTGTTGTAATTATATAATTATTTGCTTAAAGTGAAAAAATGTTGTTCACACCAATTTACATAGCCATGACTTTCATAAAAACTTGGAGAATTCGCTCCTTTAGGGCGCGTTTACTTGAATTTTTGAGTGGAAACACTAGTGTAGCGTTTTGTAAAGTGCCCGAAAACGCTGCGGGTAAGTGACTTTAATACCAATTTATAGAAAACTTAAGGCAATGGTCCATAACACAATAAT